CCAGAAGGCCTAAATTCCCCTCTCCAGGGCTCCTCCCATCCTTCTTTTCATAGCTAATTTAGTTAAGTGTTTGAACAATGTAAACCTGGCAGCTCTCCTTCATTAAGGCTGTGCGACTGGGGCAGCTGCCGCCCACCTACGGCCATCCAGTGCGGCTGGCGCCCAGGCATCCACGGCTTTCCTGAAATAGCAAGGCTCCGCTTCCTTCCGCGCTTCCCCTGGAGTGACCTGGGGGGAGGACGCTGCATTTCCTACGCCCAACCTGCTTTGTTCGAGGCCATCCAATGAGGCCATCCAATGAGGCCATATTTGGAGAAAAAAATCACCACCATGTGGAATGAAATCATGCAATTGTAAATAACTGATGTCAGTGTTTAAATTAAAAGGAGCTCACAATAAGCTTGTGAACGTATGTGAATAGACGTAAACTTCTCAGGCAAGAAGTGTGTGAACTGGACTCCATGCTGCCGGGCTGCGTGCCCCGGGGCAGGACAAGTGGGGCTGTGACACCTTCAGGGAACTGATGGCTGAGGAGCGTTTCAACGCCAGGCCTCTTCTCGGCCGGGTTCTACTAACCTGGATGAGTGTAGCCACGGAGTTGAGCTCCTTAAAAACACAGTCACTGCCGAGTCGGTGACCAGAATGGAACCTGTGCCACACACTGGAGGAAATATTTCCGTGCGTTTTCTCAATTATCTACTTATTATAAATAGCCTGCTAACCTTGCACCAGGCGACTTTGTCTTTAAGTACACATCACTCCTGTCGGGGGAGACATGTAGTATCTCTATTTTACATCCTGTTAGCAGCCGTGCTAAGAGAGTCAGTGATCTTTCCTCATAGGTACACATCAGCTATACCTTGTGCAAAAAATGCGTTCTAGAGAAGCCATGTGAAAACCTAACTTGCAACAGCACCATGTTCAGTGTTTACGGTCCCTCAAGTTAGCTTGTGCAGTGAAGACTCACTGTCTAAGCCACTAACTGCCATGAGGTCCTGCAACGTTGCGCAAGATGGGACATGCCTGCCTGGGTTGCACGGCTCATTCTTCCAGAGCAATGTGAGCTTCACAGTGAAGATCCTCCTTCTACAGCTCAGCCCTTCCAGAACAAGTCACTCTTATTCCACAGTATCAGTCCTATGAAGCACGTCTGAAATCCAGAGGGGAGTAGGGGTCCGCGAAAGTATTCTGTTAGAAGCGGAAACTGTTTGCTCCACAGATGCGAAGTAGATCTGGCGGAAGGGTCAGCACTTGCCAGTGGGAGGAAGACCAGAGCGGGGCTGCTTGTGAGACGGCACGGCCGCACTGACGCAGCCTGCTGTCCGTCTCGCCTTCTGACTGGCGGCGGCCGCCTCTCCCACTGCCGTCTGCGGCACACCGCAGGGGCTGTGCGCATCACGGGCTCTTGGCCGGTGTTTTATAGCAACGACATCGGTGTGGGGCTCTCTCCACAGCAGGGTGTGTTCTCCAGCACAGCCAAAACTGGGCACTGGCAGCAATTTTAGTTGCTAGTTGGGGAGTCTGTTAAAATGTTCTTCATGACCAATTTGTAGATCAGCATCCTCAGTACGTTCAGAAGAGCTGTGCATTCTCCCCTCGTGCAGCACAGATCTGTGGCCCTGTCTGGCCCTCTCTGTGTTTACCGGTAGCTGTCCAGTGACCCGTTGCAAGACAAGCAAGCTAACATCGCGACAACGGCAGCAGTCCTCCCATTTTATTTTCATATCGCAAAGCTTCTGTTAGCTACACCTGATGCTTCTTTTATTCTCACCATAGGAGTGTGTGAAACTGTCATACTTTCATTGTGGATTTCTTCTTTTAGCTGAATAAATTCGCACTATTTTCGTAGTGACTGTTTGGGCTTGAGTTCCACCTGGTCTCCTGCTCACGTTCCCAGCCCTGCTGGGATTCATCCCCCTATCTGTGCCCACTGCCTTGTTTTTAATGTGTTCGGGTTAACTGGGTGTACTACTGCAATATTTAGATTTTATTTTTAACCCTAATAACAGAGTCTGTGATTCAAAATGAAAGTTTATTCCAATCATTTTATTAACATGGTTTATATGCTTAGTTTTATTTCTGCTATTTGATTTTATGGTTCTCTTTAATAGACCTTTTTATATTGAGGGTTTTTTTAACCTGACTTTTCCCTTGTGACTTTGGAAATTATGTCTACTGCTTTTATTCTATTAGTAGCGACATTTAATAAATATGCATTGAAATCTATATTGTCTTATGTTCATTATCAAAAATAAAGTAATGTTAATTGATTATTTTTTATGTAATATGAGAAATATATTCCGCTTTTACTCCTTTTGGCCACCTAATTCCCAATTTTTTAGTGATAATAGTGGATAATTTGAACTAGATCATTATTACTAAGTTGACATTTTTAACTATGAGGCCTCTTTTGAAATTTCTTTTGGCATTTTTATTATGTTTAATATCACATTGAGAATTACATTAATTTTTGTCTTATAATTTATTTTTCTTGAGGAGAGAGGCTGTGGGATTATTTTTTCATTTTATATCAGGAGTTCAATCTGGAATTTGATGTTTTGATTCCTCCCTCATTACCCTAAAAATGATTTAAGTCTGGTATTTTTTGGTTTTTCCCGCAGACACGCACACATGGTGTGTAGTCCTGAACTCACTGGGCAAGAGAACTCTGCTCTGCCCGCCGGGATCTGAGCGTCAGCGTGGCGGGGCCAGGCGCTGAGCACGCGAGATCTAGCAGATGGAAATGCAGGCCAGGCACTCAAGTTCCAGAGAAACAATAAACAGCTTTCTTGGTCTAAGGATGCCCCCAACTTTGGCATCCCCGTGTGGCCACAATCCTCTGCTTGCTCACAGCTCTGCGGACACTGATCAGTGTCACCGTGGTGTCACAAAGGAGAGAGGCAGCCAGGCTTGGTCGGTGGAGGCTCTCGCCGAATTTGTTTTTTATTCTTGAAATTTAATTATCAGGATAAGTCTAGGTATGAAAAACGTGTCATTAATTTTATCAAGGTTTCAGAAAATGCAAGTTTTTCTTTAGCTCAGGACAATTTCCCCAAAATAGTTCTTTAATGGTAGCTCAGCTTTCATTGGTCTTCTGAAATTCCTAATATTTATAAATATGTCTCTGTCCATGCCTTTCATATGTCTTCTCCCACTGACTTTATCTCTTTATCTTTCCCCTCTGAGTCCTGTCGGCTCCATCAAACCTGTTTTCCAGAAGGTGGTTCTCTGATCAAATTTCCTACAAGAAATGGCCATTTGAAGTTTGTTGAAGACACAAATCAGAAGTGTTCTCAAAATTTCCACCCATCTCCTACAGAAACTGTATTTCGTAGGAAAAAATTTCTCTGATTCCTCAGAGAGATCCCTTCTTTTGAACTGTGCTGTCTTTTCATCTGCCTGGTGATTTTTCTCTGTGTGCTTGTCATTATAAAGGAGTGCAGTGTTTGCCCAGAACTGGTAGTTGCGGTCCCAGTCTGAATCATTCAGACACAAGGGAAGGGAAAAAGAAGAAAAGACGGGCTTAGACTTACTGGCGTTTCACTGAGCGGCCCGGGCAGCTCTGGAGCCAGCGGGCGGAGAGGGGCCTGCACGGAGGGAGCCTCCGCTGTAGTTTCTTTCCTCAATCCGGAGTTTCCTGGAAGCACCCCGTTCTCGGCCGAGCACTGGAAGAGGATTCAAGTGTCGGCTGGGGGTTAGGGCCACCCTGGCTTTGTGAAAGGCAGAATTTCCATCTACTGAAGCCTAACCACCTCCCCGTACCCTTCCCAGTCTCTCCCCCCATAGCGCACATGCCAGGCAAAATTCCAGGGCGGGCGAGGGATTCTTCTAGACTGTCCTCCATGTCCTGCCCAAGCACAGCGTTCCTCTTTTACACGTAAGGACCCGCGCCATAGCGCTCATCTGAGGGAAGCCCCTGGGCCCCTCGGTCACGCGGCTGTCACCCTGCCCTTCCACACCATCCACATTCCCCCATTTGTATAAAATGGGACATGTCAGCATGAAGGTTGCTCGGTAATTTCTCATATTTCACAGTATGAATACTTTGTGGCTTTTCTTCCTCAAACTAAAGAGTACATTTTTCCTTCCTTTGGAATAAATGGTTGTAAATGCTGTATAAGCCTCATTTCAATTTGGAAGCTGTTCCATGGAATATATTGTCCAATTTAACAATGGGTCCCATTGTCACATTTACTCTCAATACAAAGGCCAGCCCTAGATCATCAAAACTTGCAAGCTAATGGGCATTCTGTAGGTTTCTGGTGAGATGTTTTATAGATAACGTTTTGTGTAGGAAGCAATCGCAGCTTCATTTTATGATAGGCAAGTTGCCAGGAAACACTAAATCAAGTGGCAATAGACTCCCTAAAGAAAGTTGTTCCTGATTTATGATGATAGTTCCAACAATACTGCTGAACTTTTTACACATCGAAATGACCACGAGCTATGTTTTACATTACAGCAGAGAACGGCCAGCCCGGCAGCCCCAGCACTGCAGCTGGAATGCAGAAACCTCATCATGCAAACTCCCAAAGTCTGAGAAAAATGATTTCTTACTCCCAAAGGGTAAGTGCGTGTTTGTTTTCCCCCAGCACATCATACACCCTGAATCTACAGTGGCATTTAAAAAGTGGGAAACAGCCGCAGCTGGGATTGAGAGGCAGGAACGGGGAGGGGGGACAAAGGAGCAATGGGGACGGATGGAAGGCAGGGTCCCCGAGGGCTTGGGAGTCTGCATTCGTTTCTTATTTATCTTAGTCTTGAGAGTCTTATCTGGGGCAGGCTGTCCTCCCGTTGCGGGGTTGCCCGAAACCCCTACAGAGAGTGTGTGTGCATCTGTGTTTCTTGGGTGTTCATATATTTTGCTCTCGGAGCTGTAAGAACCTAGACTAGCACTGTCCAATAGTGTGTGATAACCCCATGTGTATAATTTCAAATTTTCTAATAGCCACATTAAAAAAATAGTAAAAAGAAACTAGTAAAATTATTTAATGATATCATTTACTTAACTTCATATATCCAAAATATTCTCATTTCAGCGTGTAACCTACATGAAACTTATTAATGGGATCGGTTACTTCCTTCACGCCAGGTCAGTGAACTCCAGGCTGTGGTGTGTATTGCACCTTCCAGCCCCTCCCAGGACGGCACACTCCTGGGTCCCAGCAGCTGCAGGTGCGGGCAGCGGGGATGGGGCAGGCTGGACGGAGGTAACAACCACCACTCGGTTCCGGCCCGATCAGCTGCGCTGCAGTCTTTCTAGTTCCCTAACGCCGAAGCTCCCCGTCCTCCAGAGACCCCAGAACACACCTCTCCAGGCGCCGCCCTACCGCCTCCTGGAGAATGGCGCCTGTGCTGTCCTCTTCGGGCTGTTCCGCCAGCCTGCCTTACTCAGTAGGTCATGCGGCACTTTATGATTCCAAAAGGAAAGCCCGAACATAGCAAATGCGTGTGTGAGAGCTCCCGACACATCCTGGGCTTCTAGGACAGAAGGCACATTCTGGTCCTTTGTCTTCACTGCCCCCTGCCAACCTCTGTCTCGCCACCACTTCTCCTCGGATGTTCTTTTCCCCTCTGCCCTTCCCAGACTGAGCGGGGTGGGGGTGAGCTGCTGGGGCATTCCTGAGCCCCACCCCAGGCAAGACATTTGCAGAGGGCGGGGCAGGACCAGCCTCGCCTTGCCGTCCGTGCCACAGCAGCAAGTCCGCAGGGGGCCCGCCGCACCTGCGTGGACACGAAGGCCAGCCTGGCGGGCTCCCGAGAGAGTGCCGCAGATCCACCCACGGAGGGTCCGCAGGTGCCCACAGCCCAGGCAGGTGGCCAGGAGAGGTACGAGCATAACGCTGTCCAGGGATAAGATGAGAGAACATAGGCCCCACTCAGGGCATTTAGACTCACTATTTAACCCTGCACACGCTAAATAAAACTGGTCAGAGCCCAAGAGTCATTCGGGTGTGGTTCCTGACAGAAGAATGTGCACTGGGGACTGGTGGCCGGTATCTGAGGGGCCACCACCTCCGCTCCCGCCAGCCCCTTTCAGGCCTGACTGCGAGTTCCTGTCCCGTCTCCATGTTCACGTGAGTCAACACCCACATCACTGACCTCACAATCAGCCTTCTGAACTCACAGATCCTCAGTGCTCTCTTCCAGCGACCCTAAATCCCATTCAGAATGGGACCCTCCGAAGGAGTGAAGCGAGACACGTAACTGGGAATCCCGTGGCAGCCTGTCTCCTCTGCGCCGTGCCAGGCGCTGTCTCTGCGCCCTAAGCTGTAGGCCCCCAGCAGCTGCGGTGCTGCAGGCTGACCCCACAGCCACGGGAGCATCCTGTGGGCCGAGGCGAGCCTGGACACCCTCACAGTCTCTGTGCTGTCAGAGCCCTGCTGAGCCGCGCGGGCTGTCCCTGGTCCACATGCGATGTGTCGCTGTTGGCGTTCCAATGTGAATCCAGCCCGTGCACTGGGCCTGCAGCCCTGCCCAGGAGGCCAGATGGAAGTCCAGGTGCCTTGTCCAGCCCTGCCCATCCCCTTCTCAAGAGGTTAGACTCTGCCCTACACCTCCAACCAGGTGCTAAACAGATCGTGCGGAACAGGAATATCATTATCCTCATTTACTGGAAACTTCTACCATTGCCCAGCTACTGGAATAGGTTTCCCCCGGAAGTTGACCCTGGCTTGAATCCTGTCTGCTTCTGCCACACCTATTTCCGGCTTCCCCTTCCTCCTGGCCTGCTCCTGCAGTCCCAAGAGGCTGCCCTGCCCGGTTGCACAGGTAATGACCACGCAGGCTTCTTAAACCATCCGTTTGTTTCATGTTTTCCTTTTTCTTGGGAGGCAATGAGCTAAAGTGAAGACAGCAAGTGCTTTTGAGTACAAGAAATTTGGTTTTGAATCTCGGATCCTACTTTGTAAGGTTGTTGGAATGATCAAAAAAGCCAGGGTAGGGGATACATTTAGCAGATATTATGGGTTGTGGTTTGGGCTGAACCAGCACTTGGCCAACGTCACATCCGCCAGCCACTTAGCTCTGCCCATTCTCAGTCACCGTTGGGAGCCTTTTGACCCCGTTCCACACAGTTCACAGCCGGAATCCACAGGCTTCTATCTCCCATGGTCTCGGGGAGGCTGCCCAACAATGCCCTGCACACACCCGCTGTCTGGTCGCATCCTGTGCCCGGGGCCAGGACTCCCTCGAATCCTTTGTGCATCCCTTCCTACCTTCTTCCAAGAAGCCACATCCAGGGTTCTATACGTCTGCATTAGGGGGAAACACTAAGCTCAGGCCGGCCAGAAGGAAATGGGGAAATAGTTAAGTGCTCAGATTTCCAACATGGCACCAACCATGATGGGAGTGACAATATGGTTTCTCTACATACAGGCTGGGCAGAGGTGGGAATAGCAGTCTGTCCTGGTCTTTCCAGGGCTGCATCTTCATGGGCACGGTGTTTACTGAAACCCTATCTGAGCTGTCTGCTCTTGCACTGGATATTGTTCCCTTGCCTGGAGTCCATTCAAGAGCCCCATCCTTTTAGTTTATAGTTAAAAGTCTCTGGATAATTGACATTAGCTCCTATGACTAGCTCCAAAATCACAGTTACTTAGTACACAAAGGTTCACCTTACTCTATGTGACCCAAGACCATAGCCTTCAAGGTCTGAGTGGCAGAGGACAAGGCAGCACCCTGGCTCTCACCTGCTTGTCCTAGAGACGATTATTCTCACTGCCACTTGGTCTACTGGGCAGAGCACCTTACCTGTGGGAAGCACGTGGAGTACAGGTGAGCAGGGCTCTCTGCCCGGCTGTGTGAGCTCATGTGCTGCGGGGCTGTGGGTATCTGTGGGCTGCTGGTGCACACGTACCCCGATGCGTGTGCTCTGCCTTGTATACTCCTAATGTGCCCTAGTGCTGCTCTTCTGCCACCACTGCGTCCCTTTGAAGTCCTTGGGATGGCCCAACCACCCACAGTATCTTGCACAAAGTAGGTGCTTTATAATGGCACTTGAGTACAGCTTCGCTCAGCTTCTGAAGAACGTCTCCTATAAGAAGAACAAAAATAGAAATAGGTGTCATCTACCAACACGCCTCAAAGCCTTAGGTTCCATGCTAACAAGTACTTCATGTATATTATTTAATTTAATTCTTGCAATTCCTCTGTGAAATTGGTGCTATTTTTTGATCCTCTTTTCACGGGATGAAGTTATAGGGTTAGAAAAGTGACAAATTTCCCACAGTCAATAGCAAATGACAGCACCCTTGGGCACCTCCGCCGCCCATCTGCTCGGAGCCTCTGCCTCTGACCCCCTCACTCTGGAGAGCCGGGGGTGGGGGGGTGAGGGGGGACTCCAGGCTTGAGAGGACAATGCTTCCTGCAGATTGCTCACTCAGATTGAAAACCCAACAAATTTAGGAATATATTGGGATAGTTTGCAAACATGTGAAGTTCTCTTTTCACAGAGTGTATTTTTCTTACAATGCAATAAATATTTCCATTGAGACACCAGAAAACATCTTTAGCCCTGTTTGTTGTTGTGCCATGTAACTATTCATGCAAACTAACATTGCATTACAATACAAAAAAAAAGCTATTTTTTCTTAAAATATTTACAATGTGATTGGATTTAATTAAACAAACTCCATTTTTATATAAGCTTTAGAATTGTTATTGATACAAAAAGGTATCAGTTATCCCTTCAAATTTGTTCCTAATCTTTTACAAATTTATTGTTCCTTACTATTTTCATTTTATCATGCTTCTCTCCAAAAGTTCACAAATTAATTTTGGGAAAATTTATAGGCTAAATTAAAGTTGCAGACACCTAGGTGCTCATGAAGATTTATATTTTGGTTCAGGTCAGGCTTTATGGCAGCAGCCCAAATGCAGGGAGCCCACCGGTGGAAGAGGAAGATTTTGACTTTTGCTCCTCAGCCTGCCCTCATTAGATGTCCAGTTCCACGTCCCTGTATGAATCCACTTGTGTGCTTTCACATTCCCACATTAACCTAGCACTTTCTTCAACATCTGATTTTTTTTCTAATTTCTAAGTTTTCTTTTTAATAAATAACTGTGGTCCTGGGGCTGCTGAATTTTCATCCAAGAAGGAGGAAAACATTAAAATCAGCACACGGATGATAAAAGTTGCTTTGAGATTGCATCCTGCAAGTCCCACCTGTTCAATGTCCAGGGATGAAGCTACAGTTCTAGTTGTTTCCTTCAGTCACCCCCAGTAGGAAGGCTCGGAGTTCTATTGCTCACAGAGAGCTGGGTGCAGGGGACCAGCATGGTCCCTGCCCATCTTCAACCTGGGTGTAGCCCTGCGACAGGGAAGACGAGGCCAGATAGACCTCACTGTTCAAGCCAAAGCCTCAAGGGTTGGCTATGGATTGTCATTAACCTGTCACTATGCTCTAATCGTCATTCCCAGAAATCCATGCACCTGGCCGTCCACTCCCAAATCAAATTGCTTACTCTGGACATACCTTCTACTCAAGGAGAAACAAGACTTTAGGAAAAATCAACCCATCCCAGACCAAGCTCCAGGCAGAAATAGCATGACGGTGCTAAGAGTGTCTGCATGGGACTCGCCTTATTGTCAAAGGTGTGTCCGAGGGCCTAGACACGGCAGCCCCTTCAAGGGAAGGGCAGGCCGAGGCGTGTGTGTGGCTGTCATGCAGCACCTGGCGATCTTTCTATTCAAGATGAGTTGGGTTACAACGTGGAGGGCTGCAGCCCCACCAAAGAGAACTACACACAGGCCTTGGGAATGTGCCATGTCAGCCTTCAACTATCCATCCCAGGCCACCTGCTGGGACTCGGAGTCCTGAGGACAGCTCACCTGGATAGGAGCAAACCCTTGCTTGCTTAATTCCCAAGATTTTCCTGGCCCTGAGCTCTGTCAGTGGCAGCCCTAACTCATTCCTTTCTCAACCCTCTCAGCCCACCACAAAGGGCAACAAGAGGGCAAGCTCTGTAGCAGGGTAATGACAACAATCATTTCATATTTGAATATCACAGTTCACAAAGTGCTTCCCTCGTGTCACTTTGACCCTCGAGGTAACTGTGAGAGATCTGGGGCAGACATTAGCAGCACCGTCTGCAGGTGGAAATACACGAACTGGCCCTCGAGAACCCTAATGCTGGAAGTCACGACTCGATCGACCGCTTTAGGGGCACAGAGCACACCATCCTCTGAATCGAGTGTGAGCATCCTCTGCCTGCTTCCACAGGACACACGTGGCTGCAAGGTGGGAGACAAACCCCACAGAGGGTTTACCCACTGCCGAGTGCGTGGAGGTCCAGTGGTCTGGCCGTGCAGGGCCATTTCCTCTCAGGTGAAGGACACATCATTTCACCTTGTACCTCCCACCACCAAGGAAACACCCGGCTTTTACTAGCCTCTTGGATTTCTGATGCTGCCTAAGACCTTCCTGGAAGTCCTGATCTGATCTGTTTCTTGGGTGACCCGGGAAGCTGCCAGCTCAGAGTGGGGCTCAGAGCAGGAACAGGCCCAGACTGTGCACAGACCGGCCTGCCCCCCTGCTCGGGCTCTCTAGAAAGCCCAGTAGCACAGCCGCCTCACAGACCCGCAGGGGTCGGGCAGGACCCCCCTTCTGTGGCAGGCAACTCCTCACTGCTTGAAGAGCAGCCCAGGCATGTCCCTGGGTCCTGGTCAAGGCGAGCTCCTAGGCAGGGAGGCCGCGTTGCCACTCGCCTGCACCCAGGCGCTCCACGTGCCGCAGGCCCGGCGGGCACACAGCAGGCATGTGCACAGAGCCCGTACTCCAGATCTGGCCTGTGCAGACGCAGAGGGACAGAAAATGACGTGGGCAGAAGGCCCGGCCTCCCAGGCCCCGCCAGGCCCCACTGCCACCTGACAAGGACAAGACAACTAAGGGCTTAGATGTTTTGGGTAAGAAGACCCAAGTTCCCACACCTGGTGAATGACCCAGACGAGCGCTAGGGCTGGCTGAGGGTGAGGAAAGCTGGGCCTGGTGGTGGAGGAAGAGGTCATGGGTGATACCAGCCACTGCCACTCAGCAGCTGCACTGAGGGTGGTAGCTTGTTTCACTAATACTTGTAACTTAAATATTTGCAGGGATTGCAGCCAGCTACAACCTTGAAGGCAAGGCTGTGACAGATTAGACTCAGCAGGTATAATGAATGTATGACTACCCCAAGGGGGGCTGCACTGAGTACCCTGGGCATCCCTTCAAATGCTGTCACCTGGCCTGCCCCTTATTCCAGCCGCCCTGCAGGAGCCGACCTCCTTCATGTGGGTACAGTCTGCCAGGTGGCCTCCCCAGCCCCACACCACGTGCCTTGGATTTCCTGCCCTGGGGGACCCCGAGAAGCAGCCTGGTGCCCACAGATGCATAGACCAGAAGTTTATGGGGGATGACCCTAGAGGTGGGGGTCTTTGACCAGTGAGGAATGGGAGCCCATGGATAAATGCTTCTCTCCTTCTCTTCCCTAGAGAAGACTGAGGTCCCTGACATAGGGCGCCTTAAACAGGTCCCTGTGATCAACCAGTTCCCGTAGCAGGGACCCACATGAGGATCAGCCTCTGTATGGCTCTTCCTCGGTCCTTGCTTCACCACCCCCAACCCTCACTCCTGCAGCCTGAACCCCATTCTCCAGTGAAGTCCTTTCACTCAGGTCTCCGTCTCAGGTTGTGCTTTCTGGGGAAACCAGCTGTGAGGTTTAGTTTTATGTATCAACTTGACTAGACTACGGGATGCCCAGCTAGCTAGTGAGACATCACTTCTGGGTGTGCCTGGGAGGGTTTTCTCACAAGAGAATAGCATCTGAATCGGTGAACCGAGTAAAGAAGATAACCGCACCAGTGTGAATAGGCTTCATCTGACCCACTGAGGGCCCAGATAGAACCTAAGTGTGGAGAAAGGGTGAGTTTGCTCACTGTTTGGGCTGGGACCTCCATCTTCCCTACCCTCAGACATCAGTGCCCCTGGTTCATAGACCTTGGACTCAGATTGAGTGACATCATCGTCGCTCCTGGTTCCCCAGCTTGCAGATGGCAGATCACGGGACTTCTCCGCCCCCATAGTCATGTGAGCCAGTTCCCATAATAAATCTTTCTCTCTATGTAGGCAGACATCTCCTAATTGGCTCTGCTTCTCTGGAGAACCTGACTGCTCTGCCAGGCTGACATGTTGCCCTTTCCTAAGAGTCACTTTTGTCATCCACCATTCCTCCCTTCCTGGTCCTGGCATCATCCAGGGTGACTTCAACATTCGAGTCCTATCATTCTCAGTGTTTGACCAGCTCGTTTCCGGGGCCCTTCACCACATCTGACTCTGCCTACTTGCTCCCATAGCCTCCCAGAGCACTGTCACCCCTGCGTGCTGCTGCAATCTGGAGCCACACGTCCGCGTCCCCCTCTGCTCCTTCCTCCCACCCTTCAGCCCCGGTCACCAGAGCTCCCATTGTCCCCACATTTTTGCCTCACTGGGACTTCATCCCAAGAGCCATCTCCCTCCTCATTACCTAGCAGCCGCCTCTTGTCCTGTACTTGGTGTCTTTTGTTGTTGCTGTTAATCCACTTAAGATCTCACCAGACAGTACTTCTCTCACACTTGCCAGTTTCCACAATTCCCTGACTCCTCCCTCTCACTTCTTGACAAAACCCCCTCAGAAGCAATGCATCTGCCACCTGTCTGTGCTTACATCCCAGGTGCTAATCACTGCTGGAGAAAACCACAGGGCTAAACCACTGGATGCTGTTAGGATTAGGATCGCTGGCACATGCAGCAAACAGATCATCTCATCCTGCTTCCCCCTCCTGCGGGAAAGCCGCCCGGAGCCAGTCCTCAAGTCTCCGAAATGCACTCAGCAGAACACGTTCTCTCCTGCTCTCAGAGAAACTAAGAGCTTGGGAAACACCTGCCTTCAGGTTCCAGTGGCGTTCAAGAGAAACCCTTCCTTTCTTCCTGCCCACATGCTCTTGGCCTCCTCAGCCGCAGACTCCGCCAGTTTTTCTTCTACTGCTTCGTCACCTTGTCAGTTATCTCCCATATCCTTCTCACGCTTTCTTTTAAATTTTGAAAGTAATAATATTGAGGGCAAAAATTAAATTCAGTTTCTCCTATTGTATTCTTACAGTGCAGAATACTTCTGACACCGGGTATGGGGAGTTTCTCTGCACGCGCCAGGCAAGTCACTGATTCTATAGCAGTGGACGCTGGCAGGATATCTTCTAATTCGCTGCAGCGCTGACACTGTCTACCTGGAGGTGGTGTGACACCCACAGTTCATTCCTGCAGCTGAGTCCCTGTGCAGCTGTGGATCCGGCCCCCACAGCCCCTCTTCGGCGAGATGGCTCACAGGACTCAGAGAGACACTCTCGCCTACCAGATTATCGTGGAAAGCACTTTAAAGGTTACAGGGGAAGAGATGCACAGGGTAAGGAAGAGGATGAGGAGCTTCCATGCCCTCCCTGGCACGCCAGCCTCCAGGAACCTCCACCTGTTGGCACCCCAGCTCTCCGAGCCCTGCCCCTCTGAGTTTTTGTGGAGGCTTCGTCAGGTAGGCACAATTGATCACATCCCTGGCCACTGGGGACCAACTGAACCTTCAGCCTCTCTGTCCTGCCCAGAGGCTGGGGGTGGGGCTGGAGGGGACAGCCCCATCCTGAAGCGCCCTAGAGCTGCCAGCTGTCAGTCAATCCTTAGCATACAAACAGACTTCTCCAGCCCTTTGGAGACAGAGTTTCAGGAGTTTGAGGAGTTGTAGACCAGGGGACAGATAGAGACCCACAGATGCTTCACAGTATCACAGGGATTAGTACAGTCCCTTCTCTTCTGAGTCACTTTTTCTCGGGATCCCTTCCAATTACACAATTTCATTACCATCTCTTAAGAAAATGATTCTCTGATACTTCAATAAAGCTGAAGGACAAAAAACAAAAAGAAAGAAATGATTCTCTAATTAGATGCTCAATTCAGATCTCTCTCCATCCTCTCTATTCAACATTTCCACCTGGATCTAAACAACCATGTCAGAACACAGAACTATCTGGCCACATAAACACTGCTCTGTCTCTGTCACATCCATCAAGCCTTTCGAGTCAGCAACAAGGGCTACACCCTCTGTTGTCCCTCATCCCACTGTCCACCCCCAGGCATTCCAGTCACTTACCTCTCTGGTCTCTACTTCTTAAATATCTCTGGAAACTGTAACCTGTTCACACTCACTACCGCGATGTAGTCTAGATCATCAGCTTCCACTTGCATGACTCCGAGAAACTTCTAGTTTGTCGACTTGCCTTCATATCTGCCCGCATTAAATTTAAGCTACTTCTTCAGGCTCATGCCCACAAGTCTTCTCTCTGTGTGGTTGGGACTGACTCCCTGTCCCCGAGCTCCCAGGGAACAGGCTCTATGTCTTGCTCCTCTCATGGTCTCCCAGGGAACAGGCTCTATGTCTTGCTCCTCTCATGGTCTCCCTCAAAACACACCCTGCCACAAGGCTCTTCTCAATACACTTTTGTTGTGTGGATGGACAACCACTAAATAAAGAACCAACCCATTAATGAAAAAGTAAATCAGTGTTGTCCATTTTAAACTCCTTGAGACTGGCTCAATTTCCAAATGTTGTTTTCCTCCCATCAGGCCCATTAGCTTGAAATGGTAGCCATTATTAAATTTATTAAGTGAGTGCATGTATCTAAGTTCCAGATAAAATAATTCTAAAGTCTTTAGACATATTTTTGAACCCACCACCTGGAAGGATCTATGATCGCATTTGTTGGACTTCAATAAGGCGGACACCCCACATATCTCCATCTTCATTTTATTTCTGTAACTTGAGTTTTGTGACCTACAAAGTGGGTGAAGGAGGGGCCTGAGTGCCCTGAGACAATGAGGCCTGGATTCTAGGGTGTGACAGCAGTGTTTGGACTCTGAGCCCAGATGCTGAGAGTGAAGAGGTACAGCAGAACCAAGGGGGCCTCAGAGGAGAGGTGGCGAGCCATGGTGGGCTCTTGGGGGCCTGAAGTTCCAGTGGACGTAGGGTCTAGTTTCTGCCCTAGCTGACTATGCTCTGTCTCCACGCCGGTTGTCATAGTCCTGAGAGAATGTGACTGGATGAGCTTGGGTCAAGCTCCCCTCCCTGGAATCAATCAGCCATGGCCTGGGGCAGGGGGCCACCAGCATTCACACCCTCCAGGAATGGTGAGCTGGAAAACTCCCTGCTTTCTATACCCTGCACATCCCAGGAAATGTTTTCTAAGTTTTAATTGAGGTTTACTTAGCCAATTCAAGCCTAGTCTCAGTGAAGCAAATCTCACATGTATTATACACGAATAATTTGTGGGTCCCTTCTCTCTTGATGTATTAAGTCTTCATAGCACAAAATCACAGGCCAGATAAGCAGTAGCAAGTGGATGTTAAGATTAGAGGTTCAGGCAGTCAAGGTCCAAGGACAGTTGTGGGCAGCAGGAAGAAGGCAAAGCCTGCCCTGCAAGGCCTGACTGAGCTCATGGGGCTGCTGTCTGCAGTGCTGCATGGAATAGGGGCCGGCTGGGAGCCTGGGAGTCTGAGCTGCCTCTCACATGTGCATGTCTACAGCAGTAAAGAATCCAGGCCATTAGCAAGTGACACCAAATCAGCCTGTCACCATTTAGCTCTGACATGCCTGAGTGTGAACTCTCCGTACAATGTCAGTGCAGAGAGATGGGAGTGACAGGAAACCCGGTGACCTCCCCAAATCACACACTGCCCATCTCTGCAAGCTGCTGGGAGTCGGGGGCCTCCCAGCAGAGCACGCATGTAAGGCACCTCGTGACATCTGCTCCCACACAGCAGTGTAGGGAATGCTTGGAAAAGGAGAGCTCTGTGCCGGATGCCCGCACAGATGTGTTGCATCAGTGGCCAGGCTGCCTGGGGACTTCCCTCCCGGTCTGTGCTCTGAAGGGCAGACATTGTCTGTCTGGGGCCCTGGAGTCACCCATGCCAGGAATTTGGCCACAACCACAGACTTCTAATTTGTAAAAACTGTCATTGTGCTGTGGTTGTGGAATGGAGCCCAAATACACATGGCACAATTTCTTTGGGATAAAAAGTAGTGGTGTCTCAGAGAAAGTAGAATGTTTTAACAAAAAGCATTGCCCTGCAACTGCCACCTTGGCTCAGCAGAATAGTTGATAATGCTCAAAGTGGCTTTAATCCTCTCACCTAATTTTACACTTCTCTGCAAGACAGAGCAGGCAGGCATTCGGTGGTTCGCCCACTCAGTCAGGAACGTTAGCTGGTGTCTTCCAGTCTGCCTCCCTGGCTCTTAGGTGAGAGAATCGTGGCTCTAGGTTCCCTGCCTCACTCAGCATGCTCTGTACCCAAACACAGAGTCTAACATAGTCTTTTCACTCGTGTCTTAAGGAGGTGATAAAAATGTCAGCTCGATAAAAAAGGCATAGTCAAGAAAATTCGACCTGCATTATTTTGGTTATCAAATTTACATAGAACTGACTCTGTATTCAAAGAGAAATATATTTAAAATCACATCAGTCAATATTAAATAAAGCTTTAACAAAAGAAGGAAGCAGAATGGAAAAGAAGGGCAGACGCAGGATGAGTAGGGAAGGAGGGGAGGACGGGGAGAAAAGCCCACATGTGTGAAGGCGTTGAAGAGAACATCCAGACTGACTCCAGGAAAACAAAGGAGAAATAACATTAATGATGAGAAAGACAAAGGAACACAAAGAAATAAAAGTGACAGGGTGAAGACAACAGAGACAAGTAGGAGAGAAAATGGAAATCGAACATAAAAGTAATTTGTACACCTAAAGAAGAGACCAGAAAAAATTGTAAGGCACAAAATTCAATTGGGGTGTTTCCTATGATGAAAGAAAGTGAAAATACAACGCAAAGTCTTCTCGCATCCTGGGAAAAAGAATGTAATGAAAACAGCCAGATTTGTCCAGCAAAGAATCACAGATGCACTGAGGAAGGAATAGCTGGTATCTTAAAAGAGAAAACTGTCAGCTGACTATAGTCTTGTCCTGGGCATGTCTTCTTACTAGAACAAAATACATAAAGCAAAAACTAATAGAACTGTAAAAAGAAATAGACAGATTCACAAATAGAATCTAAGATTTTCAAATCCCTATCTCAATAATTAGTAGAACAAGCAGAAAGAAAATCAGTAGGGATAAATTAAAACAAAACTGGCAACCAACTTTAACCTAATTGACATTAATAGAACATTCTACCTGATGAGCACAGAATATACATGCTAAATAACTCATGAATTAAAGCAGAAATCAAAACAGAAATTAGAAATTATTTTGAAGTAATTAAAAATGAAAATATAACATATTGAAATTTTCAAAATGCACCTAAAGTGGGAGTTTTATGTCACTAAATGCCTGTGCATCAACAGGCATAAAGAAATATCTGAGCAAATGCTGATCTGAATGTTTACACAGCCATCTTAAGCTATTGGGGCTCTGGGGATTTTTGACAATGAGCTTATTTCATTTTACGATAAAACACTAAAGCTATTTTTGAAGCTTTTATCTTCTGACAGAAATTCATGCTATGGAGGGTGTGGGCAATGCATTGCATACGTTGTAGTATTACAACTTTTTTGTAATGTAATTTGACAGAAGCTATTAAAAGTTAAAGCATGTATATGCTTTGACTGGGGATCTGATCTTACATAAATAATGATTTTAATATGTGAGGACTACTGCATAAAGTTGTGCAATTGTGAACTCTGGGATGCATCATTTCCCTATTAGTCACCAGGGATTTGTATACATTTTATAACAGTTTTCTGGCCATAAAATATCTTGGGGGATGCCCTTTTCTAATTGCACAAAGTCACCATTTGGGCTAGCAATGGTGCTTAAAGGACACAGGGATTTCCTTGCGAGATTATTGTACAGGCCAGAAGAGAGAGGGAGAGATGGAAAGAGGGAGAAAAGAAGAGGAAGAGGAAGGAGGAGGAGAAGAGGCGGGGGAGACTAAATCATGCATACTCATATCATGGAATGGCATGGAATAATTTAAAAAGAAAAGTAATATGCTAGATCTATTAAATATTTGAATTGACCTATAGAGATATGCAGCATTTATTTGGGGCAACAGAAGCAAATTGCAAATAAATGAAATAAGTCCTTACTTTTTTTGGTGTTTTTTTTTTTTAAAGGAAAGAAAACATTCTATATACATTTGTTCATATGTCTTACAGCCACTAAGAAAGATATGAAGGAATGCATATCAACTATTACCTCTGGGATGTGAATTTGGGGAGTTGGGCGTTATTTTTTCCTTATTTTTTTATTGTATATATTTAAGGAGTACAACATGATGCTTTGAAATACATATTCATAGTGAAATGTTTACTACAACCAAGTAAATTAACATATGCATCATCTAACATAGTTGCCTTTCCTGTGTGTGTGTGTGTGTGTGTGTGTGTGTGTGTGGTAAGACATCTAAGATCTACTGTAGCAATTTTCAATATACAATACAATATTATTAACTGTAGTGCACTTGCTGTGCTTTAGGTCTCTAGAGCCATTTATCCCTATATAACTGCACGTTTGTACCCTTTGACCTGTATCTCTTCTTCTCCCTGCCCCCACCCCAGTAACCAGTAACCACCAGTAACCCCAGTAACCACCTTTCTACTCTGTTTCTGTGTATTCAATTTTTCTCTTTTTTAGGTTCCACATCTAAATGACATCATGCAGTATTTTTTTTTAATTCCTCTGTCTGGTATATTTCACTTAGCGTAATGTCCTCTAGGTCCATCCATGTTGTCACAAATGGCAAGATTTCCTTCTTTGTAAGGCTAAGTAATATTTCATTGTGTAAATGTACCACATTTTCTTTATCCACGTATCCACCGATGGACACTTAGCTGGTTTCCCACCTCTTGACTACGGTGAATAATGCTGCAGTGAACATGGAGTGCAGCTGTCTTTATGACAGTGGTGATTTCATTGCTTTGGGTGTATGGTCAGAACAGAGACTGCTGGTCATATAGTAGTTCTCTTTTTAGTTTCTCTAGGAGCCTCCATAGTGTTTTCCCCATTAACAGTGCGCAATGGCTCCCTGCTCCCTTACACCCTTGTCAGTGCTTGTGGTCACCTGTCTTTTTGATTATAGCCAGCCTAATGAATGCTAGGTGATCTCTCATGGTGTTTCTGATTTGCATTTTCTTATTAGTGATGTTGAGGACCTTTTCATATACCTGTTGGCCATTTTTAGATCATCTTTGGAGAAATATCTGTTTGGTTTATTTATCCATTTTTTAACTAAGTTATTAGGGGTTTTGCTACCAAGTTTTATGAGTTCCTTACATATTTTGGATATTAACCCCTTATCTGACATATGGTTTACCAACATTTTCTCCCACTCTGTTGGCTGCCATTTCATTTTTGTTGATAGTTTCCTTTGCTGTGCAGAAGATTTTTAGTTTGATGTGGTCTTACTTGTTAGTTTTTGCTCTTGTTACCTATACTTTTGGGGTCATATCTAAAAAGTCATTGCCAAGGCCAGTATCAAGGAGTTCTTTCCTTATGTTTTCTTCTAAGAATTTTATGGTCTCAGGTCTTACATTTAGGTCTACAATCCATTTTGAGTTGATTTTTGCGACTGGCGTAAGATAAGGGTCCGGTTTCATTCTTTCATATGTGGTTATTCAATTTCCCCAATACCGTGATGGAAGAAACTGACCTTTCCCCATTGTGTGTTCTTAGTGGCCTTGTCAAAAATCAGTTGCCAAATATGCATGGATTTATTTCTGGGCTTTCTATTCTGTTCCATTGGCATATACAGTCTGTCTGTTTTTATGCCGGCATGGTATTGTTTCGACGGCTATTACCTTGTAATGTAATTTGAAACCAGAAGTGTGATGCCTCCAACTGCATTTTTCTTTCTCCAGATTGTTTTGGCTACTCAGGGTCTTTTGTCATTCCACATAAACTTAAGAATTGTTTTTCTATTTATGTGGAAAATGTCATTGTAATTTTGATAGAGATTGCGTTGAATCTGTATATCCCCTTAGGTAGTATGGAAGGTGGCATTATTAACTTTTTATTTATACATTTCTGTATTGTATACATTGATACTTTGAACACACATTATTCTCTGTCGTCTAAAATATAAAAATAAAACTTGAAAGCAAACTGCAACTACGTAAAGCAATAATCTTTAAAGTGTTCTTCAGAACACTAAGTCTTTTGTCCTTTTATTTTTCCAATATTCAGTGAAGCTTGCAGTTATCTATCCATCCACTGCCCTCCGCCATCCTCCCAGCACTTAAGCATGAGTTCGGTGTCTAAGACCATCCTCTCTGCCGGGGCTGGGGACGCAGAGCCTCGCGAGGGGTCGCTGGGATGCTGCACCATGGCCAGGTGGACGCAGCCAACAGAGGCGCCACCATGAGTAGCAGCTCTAAGGTCTTGGGACTACTTATGCACAGCAAAGCCCTGTCTTACCCCTTCCTGGTGATTGGTATCCCACTGGAACAGTGAGTGAAGACTTCAGGTGACAGGGGAAATCTCAGGTAGGCTTGTCCTTTTGGAAGTATAAGGAACATTTCCCAGTGAGAGCTCAAGGGGCCAAATGTGTTAGAATTGACTGTGGGAGTGGTTGAAAATCCTCAGCCAACTGTCTTCATCTTTCAGACACTGCATTTTTTGAAGGAGCCCAGATAGATCATCTTTTAACACAGCTGAATGTCGAGAATCACTTTTCTGTAGACTCTGCAAAACCTCAGGTGCAGCCAGACATTACCAAGCACTGAATGAAAGCTTCCAAAATTTCTGCCTGCATCCATGTTGCCTGGGTCAGAAAGAACCAGCGCTTGAGGAGTAAGAGCGGTGAGCGCCGCTGCCCCTGGGGCAGACTGGCCCGCAGGTGCGGCGGCTCAGGGCACCTGTGTTGGGGAGTGTGGAGACCCAGCGGTGGCAGAGGAAGGAGGTGTGCAGGGCGGACCTGCCCCACTTCCCTCTCCTGGGGACAGCAGGAGAGGGGCTGAAGCCACTGTGTCTGGCTGGCGTGAGCTGAGGAGGTTGGTGGGGGTGCCGCTCTTGGCGACTCACCTGGGAAGGCCTCGATGTGCTGCCCAGAGAAGCGGGCACTGCTTTCCCGGGACCCACACACTCAGCTCTCAATGTCAGGAGGTGGACAGTAGCCCTGAAGACTCAAGCTCCTGCTCCGCAAAGCGAGGCCAGCAGGAGAAACTGCTGTTTGCGTAAGAACAAAAGCGGGGAGGTGGTGTTGTCAAAACCGGGAAGATGCCCCAGGCAGGCAAGAGTGGGTGAGCCCCGGGCACCTGTCGCCACCCCACATGGAGGCCTGGGGCAGCTGAGGCTTTGGGGAGCAGGATGCCAGTCCTCCACGGCTGTGCGGAGGCAGAAATTGCCTCTGCTGCCTCTGAGCCGCGCGGCAAGCTCTCTCTGGCCACCAGCGACACGGTATGAACTGCATTTCTAGGGCCGTCAGGCTCCAGAGCCCTAAAGATGACAGTGGGCGAAAAGGACACAGCAGTACAGTGATGCAACCACACCCATTTCCAGGGGCCACGGACCGCAGGGTCCTGTGTGATCTAAGTGAGGGGAAGGAGCCCCAAGAACAGCCAGTATCATGTTTCTTGTTAAGCCCAGGGAGCAGATGCTTGGAGCCAGGTGCAATTTGACTTAGAAAAATAAAGAAATGTGATGCTTCTCACACCTGAGTGTGGAGGAGCAATTCATAACTTGCACTATCCACTTATTGATTCCTCTGTCCACGTGCAAAGGATTTGAGAGCACCTTGGCTGCCGCAAGCTGCGGGCTCCTCAGGGCTCAGCATCCAGCCTGTACAAGGCACTTTTGCAAGAGCTAAAGTTTATAAAAACATGATGTCTTAAGTTCTTATCAAAAATCGGTTTTCCAGTATTTATGTTTTAGATTTCTTACCACCTTTTGCGGGTGGGGAAGGGAGGGATGGGGTGAGTACTTGGCCAGAAAATTTTAAAAGTGGCTCCCAAGAGAGTGAGGAGCTGAAAAGTAAAGAAAGCAAACCCTGAACGTGTTTGCAGCAGCCTGAAGCAATTTAAGAAAGTAGGGTGAGAGGGCTAGCCAAAGACAGAGGCATGAAAATCATTTCCCTGTTTAATGCTGATGGATGAAAATGAGAAAACTGTAATCCTTAGAGGTAATTTACCCAAATGGAAGGGTCTCCCAGCGTTCCCACCATGTACACGTTTCAGCTTTTTTTCTAGTAAATATAAATACACATGCACATGTACACCACACGCACACAGCAGTACAAAATGCAAAAGGGACCAAAGAAATATAAAATAAAATAAAATAAAATTTGGTCTTTTCCTCTCAGCTCCCCCAGTTATCTGCCCCAGAGGAGAATGGTGCTGGTCTCTTCTCGATCTTTGCAGAAATATTCTATGCGCATCTAAATACAGACCTGTAAATACATCTCAGTGCGGATGGCCTTTTGCTGCGCACACTGCTCTGCACTGTGTCGGAACAGACTGTACTTGCTGAACCAGGCCCCGCTGAGGGGCTCGGAGTGTGCCCATAGCCCTCTATTACCAGCCATGCTGAGACACGTACTGGCCGTGTATTTCCAAGACTCTGTAGGTTAGTGAAATCAGAGTTTGCCTAAGCCATGGGAAGTGTCTCCAGAGGCAATTTTCTGGGTTGAGTTGGCCCATGGAAGAAAACCTGGGAAGAGTGTGTAGGATCCTGTTGGAAGCATGATCCTGGCCTCTCCGCACCTCCGAGGGTTAACAGAGGAAAGGCACTTCGTCCTGAAGAAGAATCCCTTTCCTCTTCACAAATGGTCTAGACAAAATAAAACAAAATTGAAGAAGTGGCAAACATATGTCAAGATGAGGCTAAGTTCAGAACAGCTTCAGAACCTGGACAGGGAATCGCAGCTCAGCATTTGAGAGCCTGGACTCGGACCACCAAGGTGGCGAGAAACCCGAGTGGGTGTCAGAGAGGCAGGTGAACTTTCACAACAGGCTGAACTATAGGGACGTTTCCTTTCCCAATAAAACTTCACATAAGGAAGCTGTTCTTGACAGGGTTGAAGTCTGTATGGAAGTGATACGGAGGCCTTCGCTTTGCAGGTGCAAGAGGGCCCACGCTAAGTCCGCTGGGGTTGTCGAGAGCATTTCATTTGTGGCCCGAGGTTGACACAGTGGGAAGACAAGGGAGAAAACGAGAGCGAGCCTTGGCCTGGGAACAAGAAAATCCAACCAAGGCCCTGCTCCCTCTTTCAGGACAAGGTCATAAGGATACAATGGGGTTATAGAGAGGGGAGAAACAAAGGAAAAGGCACTTTATAATCATTACCTCATTTAATTCCTGCAGAAGGGGAGGGAAAGCGCATTGTTTCCATTATATTAACCACATTCCAGAAAAATTGGAGAATAGTGAAAGAGAGAAAAAAATTCACCCCAATCCCATAATTGAAACAAAGCTATTGTCACCATGTTGGCATGTTGTCAGTTGTTTCCATTCTGACATGTCAATGTATTTGTTATTATTTTTATATGATTACAGTCAAAGTGGTACAACTTTACAGTCTTCTTAATTTTTCATTAACCATTACAGCACATACAATTTCCACATTGCCAGATTCTTCCAAATCACCACCTTCCTAAATATTAGCCCATCCTCTTGGTGGCATCGGCTTCACTTGGACAGTTCCCCATTGTTGAATGTTTGCATTGCTCACGGGGTTTTATTTCTGCATTATTTTAAATAAAATTACCTTTTCAAATAGTTTTGCTAAGATAAACTCCCCAGTGGGTAGAGGAGTGAGGGGTGGGGAGAAGTGGGTGGACAGCCGCCCCGACACGCCCGCAGGAACATGCACCTGAGGTTTCCTTGGAGAGCTCCGCTGTGAAGCCCGTCCCGAGTCATGCCACTGGGGATTTGACCCTGAAGGGGCAGAGGCAGCCAAGAAAGAAACAGTGTTGAAGGTTTCAGCGTAGCTGAAGAGTGTGGCGATCAGAAGAGGCGTGGGTTGGCCAGAGAAGCCCAGAAAAACTGACAAACCAGCAACAGTGCTGGAGATGCTGGCAGTCCCGGTTTGCTCCTCTTCTCGGCATTATCAGTAATAACTCCCTCCAATCTGGCTCTCAAACTGTCTTGTTTCAGAAAATAAATTGCATGGCCATCCTCTTACGGATGACTTGACAATGGCCCGGCCTCTCTCTTCTCGTGGGGTCAGACAGATGAGCGCTATTGTGCGCAAAAGGTTGGAAAGGACGCGTTTCAGTTTCAAGGGTTGGAAAGGGCAAGGTACATCTGACAGCAGCATGTGGCTACTGGCTGCACAAGGCCAGGTCCCAAGCCCACCTGGACGCAGATGCTCCGACAGGATGGGACTTTGGTAGGCATGGGTCCCGGACCTGAGGGAAGGGCCTCTGAACCACAAGGAGCCAGGAGAAGCGGTGGCGCCCCGAAGCCTCCCTCTCCTGCTGGGCCCAGTGCGCCCCTGGGGTTGCAGCACTACAAGCTGAAGGACCAGAGCCCCCCAGCTGGAGAGACGGAGGCCCGGCAGACGCTTCCTGGATTTCAAGAATGGACCAGAAGCATGAGCCACCTTGCAGCGAGGTCACCTGCCCACCAGTGCTGGGAAGGAGGACCCAAGCAGGTTCTGGGACATCTGGGGAAACAAAGGATTGCGCTGCCATCAGTTGTGTCTTAGTGTGTGCAGCCATTCGTAGCGTGCAGGTGGGGCCGCAGCCTGCAGGTCCAGCCCTGGGCCAGGGCCAGCCTCTCCTTGCTCCGACTCCGCGCTCACCACTAGTGCCTGTAGGCGCTGGGAGAGGACACCCTGGGCAGAGTCGTGTCCCTGCAAATTAATCAGTCACTGCATTTCATACGTTGGTTTTATGAATCTGCACAGCTCAAATCAGCCCACAGGAGTTCACTCAACCCTGAGACAGTTAGAAAAAAATGAGTTTCTGAACCACAGTATGAAGAGCAGACCCATCCTCCACATATTTGATGAATTATTTTTCTTTCTTCTGCCTTTGGTTGCTCTGTATTTTAACTTTTAAATTAATCTTAAATTTACTATGAAATTTTTTGGTTCAGGACCAAATTGCTCTTTCTTTCCAATTGCAAATGGGTTATTTATTCCCATGCGATTTGTGGAAAACACGTTTATTTTATTCTTATTTGTGTGGCTTTGTGTGCCATATAGCTCATTTGTTCATGAGCTCAAGTTCTTTGAAGAATTTATTCTGTTTCATTAATTTGTCTGTTTGTAAACGAAGATCAAATTATTTTAAGTATCATATCCCTATAGCACAGTTCAAATTATTAAAACATGTTTTTTTTTATTCCACGATGTAAGCACTCACATTACTTTTGTTTTGTTTCTAAAATAGCCATGAGGATATTAAAAAGACTTAAATTAAATCTGCACATTAATTTGGGAACAATTGATATTTTCACAATAGTCATTTTCTTATCCAGGAGCATGCTGTATTTGTTCAAATAGGTATGTTATTTCTGTGTACATTTTATATGCCAATCAAGTTTTGTGATTTTCTCGATTGATATCACATCAATTTTCCTTGAAAATACTCCTAGGTGTTTTATGGAATTTGTTGTTATTCTTATGTGTTTTTTTCCATTAAATTTGTTTATTACTGGGGAGGTATGTATTTTAACCACCATCTTACATATGACAAAACTGGGACTCGAGTAGGTTCATAAATTGCTCAAGATTTATTAAGCAGTTAAGTAAGAGAGCAGCAGCCTGGAGCACATGAGAACAAACCCCACGACCCCAGAGTCCACACGAACTGTGTCTGTCTTCTGCCCGGTCCCCTGGCTTTCGCAGCGGGAGGTGTTGGGACCCTGGATCTGGACCCTTCGCCCCTCCTCTCGCCTCCCCTCCACTCCTGCCTTCCCACTCCCCTCGGTTGCACTTCCCACTCCAACCCTTCCCAAGTCCCTCCCTTTCGGAGAATGCCTGTTGCCTCCTTCTCCCCAGGAAAGGTGCGCCCTGCTCACTCTCCACTTTTCCTTTCCTGTTTTCCTTGTGGCGTTTCAGGAGCAGGACGCACAGCTGTCAGACATGGTCTCCACGGCGCAGCATGGCCACTCAGCGAGCTCAGCTCACAGGGCGCTGAGTAACTGGGGGCCAGCCTGCCTGGCTGGACACAGCCCCCCTGCTGAGGGGTTAGGGTCTGTGGCAGCATTTGGGACCGAGAAGTCCACACTCTTTGCTAGCACCGGGATTGGAGCCCGCGCTGTGGGCGATCATCCACTCACACTGATTTTGCATCCACAGGCAGAACTTTCTCGTGAAGACAAACCTGTAGCGGGTGGCGTGAACTGTGAACTGGCTCAGAGGGCAGAGCCCCCTGGCTGTGATCAGTCTCTAAAGTGGGTGCGGGACGGTGACCAGATCCCAGCTGGTGTTCCGCTCTGCCAGGGCGCTCCACTCTGGCGCTCGGGAAGACGGGCACGTCATAATGACTCCCCATCTGTGCAACTCTTCCCATCTGGGCAGACAGCTTCCTCGTGATCTCTTATTCACCGCTCACAGCTCTGTGCAGGGGCTTACTGTGATCCCTGGGATTCCACGTAGGTGCGGCTGGGGCGCACTGGAACGCAGGGACCCGGTGGCACAGACCTTAGAAGCCCCAGTGTTCAGTCTGCTGTGGCTGCAGATCGGCTGCCCTTTGGGGATTTGAGTCTGAATCGCCACTGAGTTTTGGAGGCAAGGCACCGCCCCACCTCAAGCTTGCTGGCTGATGTGAAGGGCCCACGACTGCACCAAGGACTGCGGGCACTGGGAACAGAGCTCAGCCTCGCGGCCTGCCCCCTGAGACCAAGTCGGAGACACAGACAC